GATGGGATTTTTCCCAACCAGTGCCTGCCTGGGTGTGTCAGCCCTATATCCATGGTGGGATGGGGACAACACCTGCAAAAATTCCTCCTCCCACAGCCCTACCAGGCAGTAGAGGAGTGCTGAGCTGGCTGCCTGGAAAGGGCTCTGTCAGCTCTGGAGATCCAGGGAAACCCTTCAATTCCTGTTTTTCACCCAGCCCTGCTATTTCACTTTTCATTTGGAGGGAAGGGAATGTCCTTCCCCAGATGGGCTGCTCATAGGAGGTGACAATGCTCAGTGTGGTGGCCAGGCTCTGCTCCCACTCCTTCATGGCAACTTTTCCATTGGCAATAGACCCAGAATCCCAGTTTGGCCTCAAATCCTAAAAGCCAGGGACTAGGAGAGGCCGTGGTGACTCAGAACTTTTGGCACCACCAAGAACTGGGATAAATTATTTCACATCAATCCTCTTTTTCCTTCTCCAAGGCTCAGAGACTTAAAAAAATAATATTTGACCACCAAGAAGGAGCTGCTGGTTGATATAAGGGAAGAGGGAAGGTCTAATCCCAAATCTAATCAGGAAAAGCTGCTTTAGCACCAGATTTGGTCCCTGCTGGCAAAGCACCCGGAGTCCCTGCTGCCAATGGCTCTGCCCTGTGCAGGGTGTCTCTGCTCACCCCTGGAGCAGCAGATGGAGGATGGAGGATCCCTCACACATGGGTTTCACTTTGTTTTACAATAAGAGGGAAGAGAAACTCGGTGGGAACAGGCGTAGGCCGCTGTGGGGAAATGAGGGCCGAGCGTAACACCCCCCCCCGGCTTTTCCTTGGGGATGCCCTTGGCAAAGCTGAGCCTCCCTCGGGTCTGGCAAGGATGGGTTTGCTTTAAAGAGGTAAAAAAACCATCTCTTTCAGGCTGATCACCTTCCCTGGCAGTGGTGCAAAGCAACGGGAGCATCCTCGGGTGGGCTGGGAACAGGAGGCACACGCAGGAGGTTGGGTTCCCACGTCCTAAAACTTCCCATCTGAGCCTGCACAGGACTTAACTCTCATAAGTTCATTAATGCTTCTCCTTTGAAGGGCGAAATAAGAAAAGTAAAACACTGTGTGCATGGTTTTCATGGATTCATGGAAACATGGAATGGTTTGGGTTGGAAGGGACCTGAAGATTATCTCATTCCACTCCCTGCCATGGGCAGGGACACCTTCCACTAGCCCGGGGTGCTCCAAGCCCTGTCCAACCTGGCCTTGGACACTTCCCAGGGATGGGGCAGCCATAGGTTCTGGTTTCCCAGGCTCCCAGTCCCTGGCAATGCCCCGTGCCCAGGGAGACGAGCTCAGCACGGCACTGGGAGCTGCTGGGCTGGGGGAGGCACAAAAAAGGGAGAAAACCAAAAAAGGGGAACCCAAACCACAAGGCTTCCCTGAGAGGAAGCAGCTGCCTCATAAATCTCATCCCTGTTCCCAAGGGCTGATGTAATTAATGTCAACAGGATGTTCTCTCATCTCATGAGAATGATTTTTTTTTTTAATATATTACTGCAGCATTTTGTACTTTTCCAGCACAGGTGAATTTAGGACCAACAGACAGACTTAAAAGCATGAAGAAATGTTATGGGATGAGACCAGCTGGAGGCAGGTAAGGAAAAGCAAGCAGAATTTCCCCTGGATGGCCAGGATTGACTGAGGAAGGGGAGTGTGACTGGGACAGGACACACCAAGGAGCAGGTCCTGTCCTGCTCAGCTCAGGGAGCACGAAAAAATCAATGGGGTAAGAGCTGAAAACAAGCTCCAAAATTGTTTCCAAACTGCACAAAACTCTGCACCCATCCCTTGACCAAAAGGTCCCTTCCAGTGCCTAAAGGGGCTCCAGGAGAGCTGGAGAGGGATCTGGGATAGGGGATGGAGGGACAGGACACAGGGAATGGCTTCCCAGTGCCAGAGGGCAGGGTTAGATGGGATATTGGGAAGGAATTCTTGGCTGGGAGGGTGGGGAGGCCCTGACACAGGTTGTCCAGAGAAGCTGTGGCTGCTCCTGGATCCCTGGAAGTGTCCAAGGCCAGGGTGGACAGGACTTGGAGCAACCTGGGCTGGTGGAAGGTGTCCCTGCCCATGGCAGGGGTGGAACTGGATGGGCTTTCAGGTTTGTGACTCCGTGATCCCTGCAGGTGACATTTTCCTGCCCCAGCCCATCCAGCCCTGAGCTTTCCTTGACTTTCCAATCATTTGAACATTTTGTCCAAACGAACATTTTTTTTTTTCCAAAAAAAAATTATGGGCAAAGGGACACAAACGACACCAGTGGCTGGATGCCAAATCCTGCTCCTGGGGTTGAGCAGTGGCCACTGTCAGAACAGAAGCTGCTTATTACTGTCCCTGCTGAGCTCACCCCGGGTGACCTCTTTCCTGAGAGCCCTCGGAGCCTCCATGGGGGAATTCAGCTCTGGGGTTGTATTGCTGACACCAGGAGTCACGAGTGGAGCCCTGTAAATGCCCCACTTGTGGGAGAAAAGCATTAAAAAAAATTAAGAAAAATTAAAAAATAAAAAACCAAGGCAGACCAAACCCCCAAAATCCTCCTCAAGGACAGAGCTCCCAAAAATCCCACGCTGTAAAGAGCAGCTTTTCCCTGTGGATATACAGAATTAGTACAGCTGGTGCATGGATAATGTGGGGAGGTTGGGGGCACCTCCATCCCCACACTGATGAAGAGCTGGGAGGTGTTTTTCCTGCCTGCATCAGGTATTTTTGGTGACTCCCTGGCTCAGGAGATATTTTTCCTGTTGCCCACAGCGAGCCTGTAGCAGGAAAACAATTACCAGTTCAGCATCAGTGGGAAATGGTTTGTTTGGTGAGGACAAGGAGGGAAAGGAACAAAAATACCCACCCAGGACAGAGGAGACAAAGAGTGGGGCCACTCAAAAATAAGTGACAAAATACCTCTTGCCCATGACAAGAGCTCAGAAACCACACCAGACCCTTCTGTTTTAAAACCATCCTTTAATCCATCAATCCCACAGCATTCCCAGCACGATCCCTTGGAGCCAAGGAGATACAGTTATCCAGAAGCATGATTTTGCCTAAAAAAAATTGATGGATTTACAAGTTCTCTCCAGCAAATTAAAGGCACTTAGCAAGGGAATTCAACTCCAGCCTGCCTGGGATGCTGGACAATGCCAGGGATGATGCCAGGGCTGGCTGTGGAATTCCCTGGGACTTTTTTGCTTTTTTATCTACTTTTTAATCTTAAAGCTGAGAGCTTTTTTTTTTTTTTTTTTTTTTTTTTAAGCTTTAAAACCAGCAGTAGGAACCTCCTCCTCGACCCCCAAAGAGCCACTTCTGATGGAGGCACTGGGTCCCGTGGGGATGGTTTTGGGTTCAGACACTGCAAATATGGTGCTTTAAGAGTCAAAATATATAAATCCAGCAGGTCTCCCTATGTGCAGGGAAAAGCACTGAGCCACCCAGAGCTACAGGGAAACCAACACCCCCAATATATATATTTCTTTTTTCTGCATAGATTTAAAAATAAGGAAAATAGGGGTTGGCATAATTTTGGGCTGCAGGTGTGGGCTCCCAGCCTAATCACCCCAACATCTTTCCCTGGCCAGCAGGAAAATGGGATATGGCCCCCATGGGGGCTGTGGGACAAGGACTGGCACTGGAAGCCCCCCAGGAAAGGAAAAACAACCCTAAATTACACCAAACCCCTGATCCAGCCCCCCCAAACCTTCCCAAGCCTGCCTGTCCTGCAAAAAAAAAAAAAAAAAAAAAAAGAAAAAGAAAGGGGGAAAAAAAAGTCATTTAATAAAATCCATTCTTGGCAGGGGATGAAATTTTAATGCAGCTCAGGCTTTGTGAAAACAGTCTGAATAAGTCATCAGGCAGAGCCTTGGCTGAGATGGATTTGCCCCCGAGGAAATGAGAATTAAAAGGTAAAAAGCTGAGGGGGAGCAACACACATGTCTGCCGTGCCTTAGGAAGGGGATGGCTGGGCTTTAAATCAAAGAAAGGAGGGATGGAGACAGATTTATTGGTGTCCCAGTGTCCCCCATCCTGGACAACTCAGCCCAAAGGCAGAGGGAGAAATTCCATATTTGATACATTTAATGTGCTGCTTGGATTTTGCACGTAGATTATTTTGTTTATTTCTGACGTTGGCAGGTCATTTAAATCTTTAGCCCAGACAATAAAATATAAAAAAAAAGCCATCTAAGGTGTGTTCCTGCTGATGCCAACAACCATCACAACATGAGGGCTGGGTGGTGCTGTAGAGGAGTCTCTCAAGTCCCTGTCCCACATAATTCTGAACCTCCAAATAAATGACAAAAATCCTCTCTTCTCATGTGATCAGCAAAAAAAAAAAAATGGTGATGACAGCTCAGGAGTTGCACATTCACCCCACCAAAATCAACCAGTCGGCACCAAAAAGACGTGTCATATGAAACAAGTTTTTTCCTTTTTATTTTACAGCTTTATACATAAAACTTTCAACTCTCTGAACCCGACCGAGTGTTAATAGCACATCTAAAAATGAATGTCAGGTAGTCAACATTCACAAAATGTTGAGAACTGATTAAAATATACAGATTACTGAAAGCTACAACTTCACTACGAGGCAGGCATGTATTTTTTTCTTTTTTTTTGACTTGTATAGCACCGTCAAGTACAGTTTCTTTATTTTAAAACTACAGTGAAGAATAAAAAAGTAGTCAATGGGAAAAAAAATATCATTCAACCAAAAAAAAGTCTCTAAACAAAGAAAAATAAAGTTAAACTACCCTCTCTTCTCGCCCATGGTTTTATAATGTTATAAGTACTGTACAGTTTTTTTCTGTAATAATATTATTAAAATGCCTGATATTTAGTGGCACGAGTAAAAAAATTAAAATAAATTAAGAAGCAGAGGCCAATCACCGACATAAAGCTTCAGACATGGTCATGGACTAACACTGGATTCCTGGGACACGGACAGCAGCAGGATGAGGGCTCTCTCCAGCTCTGCTCCCGGCGTTCCCGGCTTCACTTGGCCGGCATCTTCTCTGCCATGTGCTTCTGCTGGCTCTCAGCGTGCCTGGGGAGGGAAAGGGGCCGTTATTCCCTGCTCCCAGGGAAGATGGAAAGCCAAACCCCACCCGGGGTTGTGCTCCGAGGGGGATCCACAAGGCTCGGGCAGCAAACAGTCGTGTTTTCCCGGAGCGAGGGATGTGCGGTCTCTGCCCGGGGACCCGGAGGGGGGCACATGGCAAGGAAAGCCCCTTTGGGGTTTCTCCAAAACCTGCAGTGGTTTTGGCTCAGCTGGGATTTTTTCCTCCTCACCCACAGGGTAGCCCGACACCTGTGTCCCCAAATGTGGCGAAGGGGACAGGCAGTGTCCCTAAATAACACGGGGATGGGACAGGCAGTGCACCCAAACCATGTGGGGATGGGGACAGGCAGTGACCCCAAACAATGTGGGGATGGGACAGGTAGTGACCCCAAATAATGTGGGACTGGGACAGGCAGTGACCCCAAATAATGTGGGATTGGGGACAGGGAGTGCCCCCAAATGATGTGGGGATGGGACAGGCAGTGACCCCAAAATGTGGGGATGGGGAAGGCAGTGCACCCAAACAATGTGGGGATGGGGACAGGCAGTGACCCCCAACACCCCAAGGAGCCTCCCTGACCTGGTGAGATCCTCGATGTCCACCAGCATGGCATCCTGCTCCGTGTGCAGCTCGTCCCGGATCAGCAGCAGCTGCACCAGCTCCTCATTCAAGCCTGGAGCCAGGAGAGAAAAGGGGGGAGTTTGTGATTTCCTGGGAAACCCCAGTTTGGGATCTGTACCTCAACCTTCCCCACAGCCACACAGCTTTTAAATCCCTCCAGGGATGGGGATTCCACCACTGCCCTGGGCAGCTGTGCCAAGGCTGGACAGCCCTTTCCATGAAGAATAAATAAATATAAATAAATAAATATATATTAAAAAATATAAAAGAATATATACATAAAATAATAATATATAAATATATACAAGAATATATAAGAATAAATATATGTATATATGTGTATATATGCATTCTTATAAATATTTATTCTTATATTTATTCTTATATATATTTATTCTTATATATATTCATATATATTTATATATATTATTTACATATGTATAATAATATATAAGAACAAATATAAATATATAAAAATAAATATAATAATTAATAAAATAAATATATAAACATATAAATACATTTTATATATTATTATATAAGATATATAATATATATTTTATATATTATTACATAATATATATTATTATATAAAGTAAGAAATATCATTATATTATTATATATTATAATGCACCTATATAATACTATATAAGAATACATATAAATATATAAAAATAAATATATATTATATATTATATATTATTATATTATATATTATTATATATATTATTCACATATATACAATAGATGATGATGATATAATATATGAGAATAAATATATATAAATAAATATAAAAACCATAATATACTACATATAAATTTAAATAAAAATAAATAAAAATATATATTAATATATATTTATATATATTATTATTCACATATATGTAAGAATAAATATATATATATAAAAAATATATATATCTATACTGATGTTCTCGTATAGTTATCAACATTTCTCTGTATCTCCTGGAGAATTTTCTTGATTAAACAGGATATTCCAAAGAATAATGAAAGACTTCTCACTTACTTTCTATCTGTGAGTGCAGATCATTGACTATCACTTGTAGCTGCCCGATAGTCATGTCTCTTAGATCAGTGGGTTTCAAACTTCTCTTCATCAGGCATTCACTTATATGAGGCATATGTGGCAGCTGGAAAGGAATTGTCAATATTTTATGTACTTTGCTTCCAACTCTTTGGATTTCTGAACCATTCAGGCCGTTTCCATCCCCCTCTCACAACAGGCACCAAGAGTGAGCTCGACCTTCTACACACTCAAGGCTTCAGGTCATAAACAATTTCAGTTATTAATCCTGTGTATTTTATGGTAATAGTGATTAATAAATTCCACTGAAACACGTGGAAAATAAAAGTTTGCTGCCCCGTAACACCCAACAGGACAACCCACATCGACCCTTCCACTCCTGAGGCCAGCCCCTATCTCCACCATCCCCCCCATGCCCACCAGTGGTGTGGACATCCAAAGGCGTGGTGTCCTCTCCCATCCCATCCCATCCCATCCCATCCCATCCCATCCCACCCCATCCCATCCCATCCCATCCTATCCCATCCCATCCCATCCCATCCCATCCCATCCCATCCCACCCCATCGCCCCCACTCACAAGATCCGCTACCGGCGATTTCTTCCTGTTCTGCTTTTCCACCTCCACCTGCATTTTGGCCATGGGCTTTGCCATAGCCAAGGCCATCTTGGCTTCAGCTTGGAGTTTCTTTTGCCTGGTGAGGAAGTCCATGTCATCCAGGGACTCTGACTCCTCCTCTGTCGTGTCTCTGTCGGAGTAGGACGAGCTCTGCTTGCTCTAGGGAAGCACATGGAGCTGTGACAGCCCTGTCACCCCGACCGTGCCACAGCAAAGACATTTGCTCCTGGTTTAACTTCTTTTGTGGGCTTAAAAGTGGCATCATTTCTACAGAAACTGTGAAAAGCATGGATTTTTTTTCTTTTATCTTAATCCCCAAGATTATCTCTTGAAATCAGAGCGATTCCCAGACAGGGCTCGTTGACTGTTAAGACAACTTTAAACGGGAAGAGAAGCCACCAGATCAATCGGGGTTGAAGGGACACAGGGGTTAAGCTGGAGGGAAACATCTGGGGCAGCAGTGTCATCTTCACCAAGGAAAAAAAAGGAGAGGAAAGCTGCTGGGAGCTGATAACACCTCACCTCCACTACAGAGCCAAAAAGAAAGGGAGGAAGGAGGAACCTTCCCACGAAGGCATCTGCTCCACTGCAGCTCTTTATCTGCCCCTCAGCATCTCACACTTTACTGATGGCTGAAAAGGCTGCTCTGGGGTTTGGTGTTGCTGTTTGAAGAGGATCAGCTCTTTCTCAGCTCCCCCAGGGATGCTCCAGGACGGGACTCCAGACCTACCATGGGCGACAACGGCGTGTCCAGGCTGGTCTCTGTCTTGCTGTCGTCGGCATCGCTGTCCTTGTCGCTGCCGCTGTCGTTCACAAAGCAGATCTGCAGGTTCATCCCACTTTGTAATCTGGGGGAGGGAAGGGACAGGTGACAACCAGGGTCCCCTGGAGCCAGGACAGGGCTCTGGGCAAGATGCAGAAGCTCCTGGAAACTCAGCAACAGGGTTTCTACCACCATCTGCTGATGGACTGCAGAACTGCCCGGGCACTGCACAGCTTCTGCCATCAAAAACTCCCTCAGCACTCACTGACTCTCTCACTACGTTAAATAAAATACATGAAGTATAGATAAAATATACTGAAAACATTAATATCTAAAATTTATGAATTATTTAGAAATAAAGACGAAACATCTAAAATAAAGAGACATTAATAACATGTATAATAATATGTATTGTAAAATATTTTGTTAATGATTGAAATGGTTTATTATTATTCAGTGTCCTGAATTAGGTTTCCTTCAGGTTTTCATTTTGGATTTGGAAAAGGTTGCCCAGAGAAGCTGTGGCTGCCCCTGTATCCATGGGAGTGTCCAAGGCCAGGATGGATAGGGCTTGGAGCAACCTGGGCTATGGAAGGTGTCCTTGCCCATGGCAGGGGATTGGAATGAGATGAGCTTTAAGGTCCCTTCCAAGACAAACCATTCTGGGATTTTACTCTATAATTCTATATGTAGAATTTTTTCTATAATAATAATTTATATATACATAAATATAAATACAAATAATATAAAAATTTGGATATATAAAATTATATATACATATAAAATAACATATATATAATTATATATATAAAATTACATATATATATATAATTTCTATAATTTTATTCTATAATTCTGTAAATATGGGAGCAACGGTCCTGTAGAGGTTCCTGTAGGTCCTGGATCAGACAATCCTAATGCTCTGCCTGAACCATAAATATTCATGTCACCCTCAAAGCCTTCAGGTACAGCTGGTGATCTGTGGTGGCACAGCTGCCAGACCCTCCTGGCTGTGTTAATTAGCCCCACGCTCTAATTACATGACAGCGGTTCCTGGTTCAGCTGTAACTACACAGCAACACTGTTTTCCCTTTCAAATGACTCCCAGTTCAATTTAATTTCACAACTGCACCTCTCTGCTGGAACAGCAATATTCCTCCTGGCTCGCTGCCTCTCCCAGGCTCCTTTCTCCTCCCACACCATGGCAACAGGTAGAGCTTCCCTCCCAACACGGGAGTGTTTGATGCTCCCCTGGTTACACCCCAGCAGCTGAGCACAAACAAGCCTTTCTGGAGCAGATTGGATGTAGACATTTCAAAAATCAGAATATAAGTGCAGGGTGGCAGCTCCAGGGATGGAGCCAGGTCTGGAAGCAGAGCTTGTGTGGAGCTCGTGGGTGTGAAGGGGATGTTAAAGCTGATTTTTTCCATTCTCTGTCACTTTCTGTGCATGAATCACAGAATCCCAGAATCATTTAGGTTGGAAAAGAGCTCCAAGATCATTGAGTCCAATCTGTGCCCGATGTCCACCTTGTGCCATGTCCAGTCCTTCCTGGGACACCTCCAGGGGTGGGGACTCCAAACCTCCCTGGGCAGGCCCAGATCAACTGAATCCAGGACTGGTGGAACAATGGGACCATAGAAACACAGAATCATTTGTGTTGAAAGGACCTTAAAAATCACCCAGTGCCACCCCCTGCCATGGGCAGGGACACCTTCCACTAGCCCAGGTTGCTCCAAGCCCCGTCCAACCTGGCCTTGGACACTTCCAGGGATCCAGGGGCAGCCACAGCTTCTCTGGGCAACATGTTCCAAATTATAAAAAAATCTGAAGGAAACTTAACTCAGGTAACTTGATCTTATTTGCTTTACCCCCTGAGCATCCAAATATCCTTCTGTACAGTTTTAAATCAGTATTTTAGCATATTGTTCACAACCATTTACATAACACACAACCGCTTTTGGGGCCCAAGATGTTGCTCTAAACCAAGGAAAATCCAGGGGTATGGTTGAAAGCAAAAACTGAGGGAAGGTTTTGGGGTGTCCCACTGGAGTTATCTCCCCTTTTCCAGGCTCCAGGGAGGTTTTGGGCTGCGGGGTCTGTGCCTTACCGGGACGACAGGCTGGGCTTGCCGCTCTTGCTGCAGCTGGTGTAGAGTCCTGGGCCATCGTCGAAGAAACTGCCCAGGGCCAACTTCTGCCTGATGGACTCCCGCTCATTCTTCTGGGCCTGGGAGGGAGGGGAGACAAGGAGGGATGAAGCTGCTGCTCAGGGAGGGCACAGGAGGGAGGGTTGTGCCACCAGCCCCACCACCACACTCACGATGCCCGGCGTTTCCCGAGTGTTCCCACCACAGCCCATGGGATCCCTCTGGCCACAAAGGATCCTGGAGTGGTTTGGGTTGGAAGGGACCTTAAAGATCACCCAGTTCCAGCTCTCCTGCCATGGGACATGCTGATGGAGATGTATCCATATATCCCTAAAATACACACCAATATCTGTACCTATATCCACACACCTGCATCTCCAGCATCTTTCACTTCACTGAGCAGACTCCAAACCCACCTCCTTCTGCCAATGTGTTTAAAGATGTATTTTTAACCATTGTCATCAAATGATCCACTAAATGTATTTATAAAATACCTTTTAAGAATGTATTTATATATATATATATATATGTATATAGGTTTTTTTAATAATCCAGAAAGGGATTTGAAATCAATCACTGATCAATAATTATGGGGACAACTGTGTAATCAATGTGCAAAAGGCAAATCACAGATCTAGATTTAAAATCAGCCTCAGTCTCTCCTGGTGTCTGTCACTGATGGATTATGTGCCAACGTTGACAACAAGGCAGCAAGTTATTGATAGCAGGAACATTTTGGAGCCTTCAAACATTTCATGTTAAAATAACACTTAATACACAACAAAAGAAAATATAGCAGGCAAGTCTGGGCTGCTTCCACAGTGTTAATTAATGTAACTGTGCTTCCCAGATTTCACCTAAGGAAAAATAAAGCAGCACCTTTTTGATACAAGGAAGTGCAAAAAGATGCAAATTATTTACTTAAAATAACTAACAGTTTAATTCCAACTCCAGAGCTGATTACAGACATTATTACACTGCCCATTATACTGTCAATCCCTTACCAAAACACATACTTGGTTTATAAGCCAACTCCTTTTATTTAAAATACTTCAAATAATAAAAATAAACCCTGTGACATTGAGAGGTCTCGAGGTTTTGGTTCAGCTCCAGGTTTCTGAAGCCCCACCCAGAGCACTCAGCTGTATTTCTGCACTTGGTTTTTTCAGGTTTCAATAATCGATGCCTCAATCAGACTTAGAATTAAAAACGGCCAGCCCTGCTGGGGGAGGCAGCACAGGGAGAGAATTAAGGAAAAATGAGGGAAAATATTGTTTTAATGGACTGAGAGTAGAGAGAGGAGGTTGGTGCCTGTCTCAGGACATCCGTGGCTGCCTCAGGGCATCAATATTTCATCAAGTCCTGGATACTCAGCCTCCCTTTTTCCAGCTCACATGATCCTCTCCTGCATCTTCCCATCTCTATCTGATTTTCCTTGTGTTCCAACAGAAATCCAAGGCCCACAGCACATCTCCACCTCCCCCTGCCCAGCCTCCACACCAGCTGGGACTGCTCCCTCCCCAGCACCATCCCCACCTACTCTGTGTGCACCAAAAACTGCTCTTTTTGCACTAAAACACACAGAACCACGGGCAGAGCTGCACATATTTCCTCCTCTCAGATGGGGCTGTGCCTCCAGATCTTTTTTTTTTTTTTCATTTTGCTCCATCTCCCACCAGGCCCAGCTGCTCCCAGTCTGACATCTGTACATTTAATCAATGTGCAATTTGTTTTCCCCACCAGGTCATTACTGAGGATTCTAAATAACTCTGCTCCCAGGACTGAGCTGGGAATATCCCATTTTATAAGGCAGACACAGGCTAATGACCCTAAAGAAACCAAGAGTCCTATTTGTTATTATAAAATAGGGAGCAGTTACTGAGAAATAGAATATACCTGAGGGAACTGGACTTTGGGCTTTGGATAAATTACCTGACAGCTGCGTTGATATCCAGAGCTGGGTATGGAAAACTATAAACTGAAAAGGGAAATGGCCTGGTTTTTAATGCCCATCAAATATACTTACTTGGTATATAAAAATAACGGGTCAAATACTCCAATTTCAAAGGTAATAAGAAGGAAAATGTAACCCGGTGTTATTTAAATGCATATTTTGGCACTCAGTCAGAAAACAAACATGTATTTCTGCAAGAGGGGGCTGACAATTCAGTTCACACAATGACTTGAAACAAAAAGCTGCGTTTTATTTTTAAGGCAAAACAATCTGGGGCGGATGTTTTCCTTCTTAGCCTTGACCTTCCCCTTGGGAAGGTCAGTGGCCACCTTTGTTTAAGCCCAGGAATGAAAACACAACGTCAGGTTTGTGGCTGTGGAAGGTTTTCTGCAGCGTCCCAGGACAGGAAGAGGTTTGGCTGTTCCCACAGCAGCTCCAGCAGCCCCAGCCCTGTCACCTGCTGCAGTTACTGCTATTTATCCACCTATTTCCATCACCTCCTTGGTGTTTGCAGATTATACACAACCACCAGCTCCACCTCCTGCCAGCAGCCAACCCGTCCCCGACACACTGTGACACCAAAAACCCACCAGCTTTGGGGGAGACCCGAATTTATCCAACATATCATGGAATCCTTGCATGGGTTGGGTTGGAAAGAACCTTAAAGCACATCCAGTCCACCCCTGCCATGGGGAGGGACACCTTCCACTGTCCCAGGTTGCTCCAAGCCCTGTCCAACCTGGTCTGGACACTTCCAGGGATCCAGGAGCAGCCACAGCTTCTCTGGGCAACCTGTGCCAGGGCCTCCCCACCCTCCCAGCCAGGAATTCCTTCCCAATATCCCATTCTCTGGCAGTGGGAAGCCATTCCCTGTGTCCTGTCCCTCCATCCCTTGTCCCCAGTCCCTCTCCAGCTCTCCTGGAGCCCCTTTAGGCCCTGCAAGGGGCTCTCAGATCTCCCTGGAGCCTTCTCTTCTCCAGGTGAACCCCCCCAGCTCTCCCAGCCTGGCTCCAGAGCAGAGGGGCTCCAGAGCCCTTGGAGCATCTCCGTGGCCTCCTCTGGACTCTCTCTAGCAGCTCCATGTCCTTCCAGTGCTGGAGACCCCAGAGCTGGAGGCTCTCATGGAAGTGGAGCTGAGGGGGAGAATACCTTCCCACCCACCCCCCAGCACCAAACAGGGTGCACAGCCCGTGCCAGGCCCTGTCCAGGAGCACTGGGACACCCAGCCAGGCCACCAGGGCTATTTTTGCCAGGCTCTGTCATTACCAGCCTTGGACAATGACTATATTTAAAGTTCCAGAGCCATAGGCAGTGCCTTATTTTATCTCTGCAAAGCACAAGGCCTGTTACTGGATTTACAAACAGAAATTACAACCCCACGGCAAGTGTTTTTATCTCCTTTCCCTTCACAGGGGATTTACTGGTAAATGCAAACCCAAGTCAAACTCACACATCTCAAGCCACGTGGCAAAGTGCCTTAAAATCCCGAGAGTCTCGAGGTAAGAGATGGAAACATCTCCTGACATTTTCTTCATCATAAAGATACGGAAAGGCAGAGGGAGGAAGGTTTGCTGCCCTGTGCCAGGGTATTAAACACATTGGAGTACTTCCCTGCCCCAGTTCCTGAATCCTGTGGCCCTGGGAGGGTGTAGGGCAGAATCCCATGGCCCTGGGAGGGTGTAGGGCAGAATCCCATGGCCCTGGGAGGGTGTAGGGCAGAATCCTATAGCCCTGGGAGGGTGTTGGGCAGAATCCTATAGCCCTGGGAGGGTGTAGAGCAGAATCCCATGGCCCTGGGAGGGTGTTGGGCAGAATCCTATAGCCCTGGGAGGGTGTAGGGCAGCATTCCATGGGTGCCCTCCTGCCAAGAGGGCTCCCGTGGGCAGACAAAGGCTCCTTTTTGTCCCTTACCTTTTTATAACTCCCCTCCCCGGCCGGTGCAGCTGCTTTCCTGATGACGTCACCCATTCCATCACCTCCCTCCCGACTCATCTCCTTCGCTCCCGGCTCCTCACGTGGCAACAACGGGGCATCTCAGTCCTTCCTCGGCTCTTCCCCGGGCACCGCGGGACCAGGCGCTCGCTCCAGAGCCGGGACCTGCCGCAGCCCCCCGGCCCCTGCCCGGGATGCCTCTCCAGCACCTCTCCCTTCCCGGCTGTTCCAGAGCACCTTGCTTTTCCCAAATAAAGTCACGGAGCCCCAGGCAGCTGATGAGAGGGAGGCGAAGGCTGTCGGGGCCAGGGAAGCCGCGTCCTCCTCCAGCCACTGCCAGCGCCGGATAAAAATAGCCCCGAGCCTTCCCCGGCTACACAAGGGCAGGAAAAAACCCGGTGTCTGATGTCAAAATCCAAGCCTGGCAGCGCAGCCCTGGCCAAGAGGAAGGGGCTTTTTCTCCCGGGGTTTTCACTGTGGAAGTTATCCCAGTAAATCCCCAGGAACCCAGGATATAAGGCTGGTGGTCCCAAGCCCTCGCAGGGCTGCTCAGGTAACCACAGGATGGAATTGTCAGTCTACACAGAACCCACCAGCAAGGAGCTGTTTCTTGGCTAAATCAGCTTTGTCAGGTGCAAAAAGTCCTAAATTTCTGGGAATTAAGCAACAGAACTCTAGGAGTGACCCGGCCTTACCCTCGTCCTGTGGGTGTGCAGGGCCTGGGGACCCCCAACCACTCCAGCCCTGGGTCCTGGGGGGCTCTGGGCTCACAGCCCTCAGATCTGCACTGCTTCCAGCTCCAGCTCCTGCCTCCAGCAGTACTGCCTGGAGATCCAGGCTTCCCAACACAACCACTGACCTCCAGGTGCACAAATCATTCTCTCCTCGCTGAGATCCCACCACCTGGATCAGCTGCAGATGGGCAGCTGGAGGCAGAGCTTGGGGCAGACATTCCTACAGGGAATCCCTAAAAGGTGGGATTGATATCACAGTCTCCCAGTGATCCCCAAAACGGGGCCCACCAGCAACAAAAGTCTTCATTTCTGGTGCGACCCAACGGCACAACAACTTAATAATTCAATTGCCCTACAGTGTTTATGTGTTTAATGATATATCCAAGTCATGCTGACATCATGTCACTCAAAATGCATATTCCAGTTAAATTACCAGCTCTGACAACACACAAATTATGCATCCCAGCATTAGTCCACTCGGCATCTTCAGGAAAAAACAGCAATAATAAATGTTTAATCCCACCCTTCTCCCCGGATGGTGCTTTGTAACTGTAATTCCCAAATGAAACAAAGTGGTTCTCTGGATATTTCATTATTTTTAGTTCCCCCCCACCACTGAGTCATTGTGTCCTTTTCCTGCTGTTGCTAAATTAACTTCCTCTCCCAGGCCGTGGGGATGAATCCTGACACAATAAATCAGAGACAATAAAGAATGTCATAGCCCAGGGGGAAGGATGTGGTGGCCAGGAGCACCAGGCTGGGGGCTGAGCCTGCATTTGTGACCAGTCCCTGCATCATCCTGCCCTCAACCATGGAGGGGGATGTTCCAGTGCCTCCTTCCCAGCTGGCTGAGATGCTGAGCCTGGTCCTGCTGTGCCCCTGGTACCCAACAAGCCACCCCTCTGCAAAGGGACATCAAAGCCACCCCTAAGGTAGGAAGTGGCACAACCAAAAATGTACTCGGCTCTTTCCCCCCCCCCCCCCCCCCCCCCCCCCCCCAGTTTTTAGGATATTTTCTCCCCATTCCAGGTTTCAGGCCAGCCCTGCCCTGGTATGCTCCAGGGCCAGCTTTGCTGATCTGAGCTGATCCCACAGAGCTGGTCTCAATCTCCAGTGAAAATCCTGCTTCCAGCAGCTGCCTCATTCCAGGCAGTGGCAGAAACCCCAACCTGGTTAAGAAGCACAGCTTGGAGCCCCTGTAATCACTGCTGAGGCACATTTGGTGCCCTCCTCGGTGCCAGGACCAGACCCAACCCTGCCCCCTTGGGATGGGCACCTCCCCACTAGCAGAGACCCAGCCAATTTAAATCTGGATATCAAAACCATGAGAGAAATGAATTCTGGGGTTGTTTCAGCTCAGGGATCAAACCCTTTGCTGTCCAGCCCCTTCCCCACCTGCTGCACTGTGGGCCAACACCCCCCACTGTCCCTGTGGCCACTGTGTCTGCTTGAAACAACCCCCAAAAAAGGAGGGTGGGAGCTACACCACAGTAGCTCCATGATGGCATCACTGTCCATGGGCTCCTCACACACAGATCCCACCAGAAGCAAACTGGTCTCCACGGGCACAGCCACCAGGGCAGCTCCTCCAGCGATGCTGGAGGGGGAGAGAGAGCCTGCTTTTCTTTTTACAGCATGAAGGGAAAGCTCATAACAGGCAGATCTGGAGCAGGTCAGCTGAGGTGCCCCTGGGAGGGAAGCACACGGAGCCAGAGCCACAGGGAACACTCAGGATGGGGACGGTGACACTCCATAAGTGAGGCCAGGAAATAGGACACATCAAGTTTTATGTGCTTTAAACACGCCTCGGTTGCTTACAGACAAGAAAGCAGCTAAATTTAACTCTGCTGTGCATTTGAGATGTTGTTGGAGTCAATAAAACCCCCTCCATGCTGGGCTGAACTCCACTGAGGGAGGAATCACCCCCGTTCCTGTTTGGGATCAGCTCCCAAACACGGCTGGATATGGAGTCAGGAGAGAAAACCCCTAAATTCCCAGGATATATCAGTGAAAACCTTCTGAGCCCATTCCCTGGAAAACTGGTATTCATGGTCTTTGGGCGCCTGGGCCAGGGTATGGAGGTGGATTCCAGGTTCATGGAAATCTCAAGTTGCCAGAACTATTGGAGAGAGACTGTTTACAAGAGCATGGAGAGACAGGGAATGGTTTTAAACTGAGAGCAGGGTTAGATGGGATATTGGGAAGAAATTCCCCCCTGTGAGGGTGAGGGGGCCCTGGCACAGGTTGCCCAGAGAAGCTGTCACTGCTCCATCCCTGGGAGTGTCCAAGGCCAGGTTGGACGGGGCTTGGAGCAACCTGGGTTAGTGGGAGGTGTCCCTACCCATGGCAGGGGGTGGCACTGGATGAACTTTAAGGTCTCTCTGGGATCCATTCTGGGATCCTATGATTCTATCTCACAAAACATTTATTTTAATGTAAATCTTGGAATAAAGCACAGTCCCATTCCCAGCACAGCATCCTCCCAGCACAGTGCCAAGCACAAGCCCCTGCAAACTGAGGGATGAGTAGAACCAAGCCCTCCCTCTGATGCTGCTTCCCTGAGCTTTAACACACTCCAAGTGCTTTCCACCCACGTTGCAGAGCTTTTCTTTTGGATCTCTGGCTCACCAAGGCCTCCAGCCTCACATCCCTGTAACAAAGGCTTTGTTTTATTGTCCCTGCTTTGGGATGCAGGATCAGTGGCACGGAGGTTCCTCAGCTGTACCAGGCTCTACATCCCTCCATGGGCAGCCACGGGCAAGGGGCCAGGCCAGCAGCTTTCCCAGTGCTCCACACTGGGTTTTCATGGCATTTGAGGTTTTTCTCCAAGGCCTGTCTCTTGGGGTTATGTTCTGCCCTCAGAATTTGCACTCACTTTAATGAAAAACATGATGACAGCCTGGTATTTCTACAGCCTACAAAACCCTACAGACATCAAACAAAAGAAACCTAATAAACCACCTCATTCTTCTTTTCTTTTCTTTTCTTTCTTTCTTTTCTTTTTTCTTCTCTTTTTTCTTTTCTTTTTTCTTTTCTTTTTTCTTTTCTTTTTTCTTTTCTTCCTCCTTTCCTTTCCTTTCCTTTCCTTTCCTTTCCTTTCCTTTCC